AATGGATCTGAGTAAGAAAAAGAAATGCCAGCAAGATTTGGTAGGATGCTTAGCAGTCTGGGCATGAGGCCCACCTTGGAGGTAAGTTTGGAAAGGACCCAAAAACTTAGATGCATGTGAAGGAGATTTAGAGAAATGGCCAGGAGGGTCTTGGAAATGGCCAGGTCGACTGGCCACAGGTGTGAAAGAAGGCATGGTGCAGGTGACTTCAGAACAGTCACCTGGCCTGCTGTGATCAGAGAGGCCACAGGTAGTAACTGGCATGAAGGAGGAGCTGACCTCAGAAATTCACTGACAAGTTCACGACTTCCTCCTGAGGGAAGTCTTCAGAGTGGACTGAAAGTACAAAATATCTGGTTAGAAGTAACACAGATGTGTCTTGGTGTCAGTCAACAACATTCTCCATGTGAGGCTTCTGAACTTGATTAGGAATGAGGGTCTTAGGTCCTGATACCAAAGAGACCCATTGGTTCTTCTTTGGCTTCAGAAGGAATGGCTGGTGGTAGATCCGACAGCACTGGAGGGGAGCTGAGGTCTTAACTCATGATGGTTGCTCATACATTTTAGTAGTTTTGAAGGGCTGAGTTCCTACAAGTAAGCTGCTGACTGCTGTATGGGAACCCTACCCTCTCTGCAGACCAAGCAGCCAAGGTACTGACTCCAGGAAATGTGGAACATTGTCCTAGTTGAGCAATATAGAGTCCTGAAGTTTCATAGTGGGAATCTTTCCCGTGAAACTATGTGACATTTATTTCTCTGAATAGGCAGCGGTGGTGATGGCATGATCTGAGAGGCATGGTGCTTTGACAGGAGTATGGGTTTATTTTCAAACTTAGTGTTTATGTTTGAGGGAATTCGGTCAGCCTAGAGGGAAAGGAATTAGACTGCCAACCCAAAGAGACATGGGTTGAGTCTACCGGCTGTTCCATAGAAGAAAGAAAGTCTTCTCCCTCGTGATTTACAGCTTCTAAAAACCTGTGGGTTCTAGCTCTATGGCAACTGAGTGAGTTTGTGTTTGAGAGTTTTGTTTTTTAATCTCTTATCAGTGTTTTTTTTGTTTACTTGTTTACTTAACAGATGACCTGATCAAACAAAGCTTCAGGTCTGCAGATTTGTTGCTGCAAGTGCTGTACAGTGACCATTGACCCTGAGTACAACAGCATAGAGCCCTTCCAATCCTTTATCATCACAGTCTCTGCTGTGCCCAAGTCTGTTGTTCCAGTCACTGTCAATCCATTTTGCTTGGGGTTTTCCTCTTCCTCTTCCATCACTGACCTTACACTTTCCAAATCTGATGTCTTTCTCCAGGGACTGGTCTTTTCTTATAATATGCCCAAAGTATATAAGACAAAGGCTCACCATCCTTGCTTCTCAGGGGCACTCAGGTCATGCCTGCACTAAGCGGAATTTGTTTGGTTTGGGTTCCATTTCTATTATAATTGATAATAGCACTGGTAGCTGTCATTTCAGAATGACTCCTCAGTGCTAGACTCTTTGCTAGGGTTACATACTGTATCCTAGCTCCTTAACAAGAAGATTGCAGAGAAAACATTATCCCTAATTTACACTCAAGTGATGTTTGGCTCGCATAGGTAAGTACTGACCAGGTAAGCGGGCATTCCACTTCCACACCAGTGACCTCTGGCTTCAGAGTTCATGTTCACAGTCAAGAGTCATCATTTCAGACAGGTCCTTATGGCTCCTGCCCAAGAGATCCCATTTCATGTCTTTGAAGGACTGGACCAGAGCCTTCGTTTTGATGAAGTTAAAGGGAGGAGTTAAGGGGAGCTGGCTTACCAGCTGTATTGACTTTTTCATCCAGACTTCCCAGCCCAGTCTTTGATTGCATGGTGCTGTCCACACTCCCACTCATCCACACCTGCCAGATAAGCTCTAAGTCCTGGCAGTGACTGTCTGGGTAAACAATGCTTGAAAACCTGAAGAGCAAGCAGGATTATTTGACTGTCATTGTTGTACAAAGCCACAAGAGGACAGACACAATGCTGCCAGATCCCTACCTGGTAGAGCATTTCAAGAACAAGGGGAACAACAGGTCTCTTTTGATATTTATCTGGTGAGGAACCAAGGGGAAGAAAGGAGAAGCATAAACCGGTTGTCAGTGATAGGAAGCATTGCCCCGCCGGGGCCGGGGCCGCTGGGTCAGGAGAGAAATACAGCAACCTCTTTTCTGCTGGGTGGAGTCAGCAGCTTCATTCTTTTCCAGGCGGGAGATTCATTTATGCATCTTCTTCTGCTCAGACTCTGGAAAGCCAGGCCTCATTAGAGTTACCAGGCAAAAAAAGAATATTGTTTACCTTTAATTGCTGTGATTAAGGTCCGGAGCAGCTAGTCACAGTTTGTGGCCAACTTTCCAGAAATGTCTCTGTAAGATAAGTACTGTGTGGCTGGCAGGAATTTCTGGGAAAGGAGAAGGGAAGTCCTGCTTTGTTTGTGCTCCTGGGCCTGCTGGTAGGGCTCTATCTCTGATACTGATGACACCTTGGGTTCCTTACCATCCACTTAGGGGATCTGTGACTCAGAGAAATCCAGACTAAACAACACCAGGGGGGAAAAAAGTCCAAGGAGGAGAAAAATAGCGTGAAAGTTTCAGCATGCTGGAAAGGCAGCTCAAATACACACTTCACAAAGGAGGGACTTGTGCACTGCCTGTCCTGGATCCTTCACTTCTGGGCCCTTTCTCAGGCACTGAAGTTGTTTGATTTGGGAGAAGTGGGGAAGGAGGGTTTGGAGTTTGTGCTCTTAAACGTCAGGCTGCCTGAGCTGTGAGTGGCTCTGACTCCCTCTGTGCTATTAACTGAGCCTCTGAGGAAAACTAGCGTGATGACGTCGCCTCACCCATGGTGATCCCACACCATGTAGAGTAGCACCATGCCGTGCTTCACTTGGTTTCCTACAGCTGATCCACTAGAAGTAGGTCGCCAGGCCTTTCTTCTGAGGCAGCTGGTGGTAGCCTGGACCTCCAACTGTGTTCTTAGTGTCTAGGCTGCCTCCCTTGGACGTTACAGGAGAAGGTCAGCAGAAGTGCATCTACTCATAGCATCATAGTACTGTTCTAGGTCCCACATGAGACCAAATGGCCATGTCAAGAGGCACCTCTTCTCATCAAGCCAGCAAAGCAGCTGTCCTAGGACTTCTGTATTTTCCCTCTTGCAAGTTATAAGCCCTCTGTCTGCATGGATGGCTCACTTTCTAGGTTCATTTGGTCTCTGGTAACATGCGGCATTTTAGAAATGGATTTCCAAGTCATTCTGTGGAAAATTATACCCTCTGTTCATGGTCTTTGTTACTATTTCCTTACCCTGCTTTATTTTTCTCCATGTCTGACAAAGTCCCAGCTTAACATTTAGCTCCAATATGAAGATGGGAATTCCACAAAGGCAGAGCTTTCCCAGTATATATGCCCTATGTCCCTTGTACCTAGCTCAGTGTTGGCCAATAGGCACACAGTAAATAGTAAAGGACTTAAAGATGGATGAATAAAGAAAGAAGTAAATTAATCTCTCAAGACTCAAGTCAAATTCTGTGTGAGTGAGAATGAGTCACCATACATTTTTTTCTGAGTATAGATTTCTGATATTAGGTAAAGCTGAACAATATGAACATAATTCTTTTTTTATTTACTATTACTAATTTGTTTTTTAATTTTTTTAAAAAATCTTCTATGGGTCAAGAACTCTACTTGGCATTCTAATGACACCCTGGGGATCTGAAAAGATGAGAGAATTGTGGGCATAGTTCAATGAGGATTAATTTTATAGAACGTGATGTAAAGGAATGAACTTGGAGAAATGATGAAAGTTATACAGGTGTTCAGGTCTTTCGTTCATAAGGTTGCTATGAGTCGTCTGTGACTTGATGGCACTTAACAACAATAATGTATAGGAATGCTTGTATAAAAACAATTTGAATGTATATGAATTTTGTGTTCAAACCAATATAATTTTTTTAAAAAAATACACTTTACATTTTAATCATTCTTTAGAACCAACCCCAAATCATCACCATTGAGTCTCAGCTAAGTCTTAGTTATTCTTAATCATGTTTGCAAGGCTGTAAATCTTTACAAGAGGAAATTTCCCACCTTTTTCCCATGAAGCAGTGATGAATTCCAACTGCTGACTTTCCTTTAACTGACACCTGCAGTATGCACCAGAGTTCATTAATTATACCTTATCTTGCCCTCTGTCTCTTTCACATGTATTGTTGTTGAATTGGAACTGACCCACAGCTGAACCTGATCATACTGTAGAGGCTACACGTGATCACATTCATTATCTTTATTGGTATAGTAGCAACGCATACTAGAAAGAAAAAGGCCTTTGAAATCTGTAAAGAGATTCATGCTCAAATTTCAGCTCATTCACTTGGTTACGGATGTTGCTTCAACTCTTTGAGCCTTGGTTTTACCCGTTTCCAAAATAGTGGGGTTAGGCTTGCCATCCGAATGGGCCCAACGTCTAATATTGTTGTTGTTATTAAGTGTCATCGAGTTGCATACGACTCATAGCAACCTATGAACGAAAGACCTGAACATTTGTGTAACTTTCATCATTTCTCCAAGTTCATAGAATTTCCAGAGGCAAGCTATTTCAGAAGTGGATGCCACTCCTGCTTCCAGGCTTGTTTTAATCAGGGAGCTTCATCAAACGCTGTCCACCATGAGTAACCATTATCACATTTGACACATCAGTGTCACAGTGTTTAGCATCACAGCAACTACCAGTTACCTCTGTGGTGGCTATTGACATTATGATCATGTCTGTTATGGTTTGTTTTGGTCTATTGGGAATAAAACAAGGATCAGATTCCTTGTAGGCAAAGAGTAAAAAGGGTGGATACAAAACTATGCCCAAGTATTGCTTGACTGTTTGTTTACTTCATGAATAGCAGAAGGAAGTATCTTAAATTAAACCAACCAAACCAGACAGCAAGGTTCCTAGTTATACTAGTACTAATACATGTTGTACGAAGGGCGCAAAATGTTAACCATAAACTTGGTGCCATTAAACAATGAAAGTGTATTCTCTCCAGTTCTGGAAGCCATAAACAAGACGTCCCAAGACCGTAGAGGGGCATCTTTGCTTGTCTCCAGTGTTCTGTGGCTCCTGGCACTCTTGGTTCTGGAGAAACAGAGCTCCGGTCTCTGCCACCATCTCCACTTGTCATCTTTCCTGTGGCTCTCCTTTTCTGTATATGGGCCTTCATCATTGGACTTGGGGCTCACCCTCCTCATTCTAAAGAAAATGGGCCAACACAGTGGTTGCAACAGATGACTCACATTTCATAACAGTTAAGAAGATGGGGTAGGACTAGGCACTGTTTCATTCTGTTGTCTGAAGAGTCATTTTGAGTCAGATCAACTACAACTAATTAGGATGATCTCATTTCAAGGTCCTTTCCATAATGATGTTTGTGAAGATCCCAATTCCAAATAAAGACACATTCAGAGGTTCCACATTGACCCAAGTCAGGAGGCTTGGCTATTCAACCCCCCATGGTTGTTAATATAGGCCTTCCATCCATAAATAACTCATTTGTCTTCTCAGTTGCTTTATCTGAGTTAGAATATTAGATCTCAAACTACTTGGTCATGAGAATGGAAAGGTGGACTTAGGAAGAGACCCTTAGAGGCTAGTGCTAAAATTACAGCTTGCAGGACTGCCACTGACCAGAATTCCTTGTCACAGGTCACAGGTCCTTCCCCACTAGTATTTGAGTGAAATGTCTCAGTCACAAAAGGACAAATATTGCATAACATCATTGTTATAAAATGGGACTGACATGGGCGTTGGGCAGAAACTGAGAAAAGCGGGGACAAATGCTGAACACTGCTTTGGAAAAGATGAAGGAAAGAACTGTTTAAAAGAAATAAATGATTAGGCATTATTTGTATGACAACAGTCCAAAACAAGAGGTGCATAGCAAAGTGGACTGAGGAAGGGATGAGTGGAGAGGGAAGAATTTATGCAACAATGAATGATTATTTTTTTTAAAAAGTGAATGGGGTGGGGGTAGGGAAGAAAATGTGCAACAATGAATGAGTGAAAATCTAAACTTTTTGTAAACTTTCATTAAAATCACAATAAATAATAATAATTTAGAAACCCAACCAAAACACACCAAAAAACCTTTGGCTCAGCTCCTTAAAAAAAAAAAAATCTCAACAAAGAGCTGTCTTGGCTTTGGTGGGGAATTATTACATCCATGAGCCACCACTTGCTTTCCAAGCACATGGTTATTCCACAGTTAAGTCTGAAAAGAAGACATGGATGAGATCTAGTGATATCCACAGTCAGGCATTTCTATTCTGCTGGGGTCCAACCACAGGGTGCAATGATGCAGATGACAGACATACATGATCCAAGAACTGCTACTTGCTTTGTTCATCTCAAAAGGAGGCAACGTCCAGGAAATCCTGTTTATAAACCTTCAGAGGGTCAGCTATGGACATGTGGGTGGACAGTAAACTGACCACTGCTAAGAAGATCCCAGGATTCTCTGTTGGATATAGGCATTTCTGCACTGCTTTTCAGGAATGAGTACGATCCAAGGCAGAGGCTTTGCTTGTAAATACTATGCAGACTCTCTCCTTGCAAATGTTCCCCATGGGGTAGCATTATGTGCTGTACAGTTAAGATTATGTAAATTAAGATTAATAGTTCTTTCAGAAAGCTTGTTTTCAGCACAGGATGCTCTGGGAATCAGAAAGAAAACAGGAAATTTGAATCAATTCTGTACTATTATGTCAGACTGAGAATTCACATTGGGTTTTAAAAGTCACTGGGTTCCACTTGTAAATATTTAGGAAACCTACTCTCAAGTGCATTCCTAACTTCAGGAACATTTACACTGAAGTTTTCTTACAGTTTAGGCTAAGTACAACAAGTTGAACGATGCCAAAATTAAAATAATGGTCAACAAGGCGAACGTGTAAAACTAACTTCTGACACAAAGTTTAAAACTCTTAAGCAAACAAATATAACAGGAGGCGCCTTTTGGGTTTTGGGTGGGGGGCAGTTTGCAGTAAATATTTAGTATGTGGGTTTTTTATAAGCAACTTATTCCATTCTTAGAGTTTTAGAGTCATTGAGACAAATCTTTCAATATAATAGGAAAATTACTTTCCTTTTCAGTTAAACAGGAATATAATTTTAATATTGTGATAAAGCATGCATTATATTTCCAAATAGGACTTAAATTTTATGAAAATATTCTTTCAAACATTCATTGATTTTACTCTCATTTAACTGGCAAAATAAGACATCTTTCCAAAGTACCTATATGAAACATTTTTTAAAAAATAAAAAAAACCACAAAAACCTCAAAACCTCCCAGTCTTTATGGCCCTTCATTAACTAATAACTGAGCCCATGACCTTTGCTTCAGTTGTGTATCCCAGCCAAGGCTGAGCCACAGAGCCTGATGGCTTTAGAGAGGCGAACCTAGCACTTGATTTGGAGTTGCTGATTTGACAAGAGGCATCAATATACAGTGTGGCAAGCTCCACCATATATATATATATATCATGTTTGATATAATCTAAATTGTTTAAGAACTTAAATTTAGGTACAGAAAAAAAGATCATTATATTTTTATATATTGTTGTGATTGTTATTGTTGAGATGGAACCAACTCATAGTTGACCCTCAAGCAAGTTTTCAAAACTTGTAAGTCACACAGGAGAAGATTGTGCATCTTTTTCTCTTGAGGCAACTGTCAGATTAAGCCACTTGTGTTTGGGTTGGCAGTGCAATTCCTTACCCAGTAAGCTATCAGAACTCCCTACGTGTTTGCATACATTTGAGAAAATGACAGAGAGATGGTGAGTAGCATGATGGACCTGAGGAAACAGAACGTTGAGATTTAGATCTAAACAATACAATTTAATAGCAGCAAGTTTTGAGTTCATAAACTTATCATCTATTTTCTCATCTGGGCAGGTCTGCCATTCCTGTCCCTCCCTTTTTTTGTGGTTTGTGACATGAGGCTCAAGTGAGGGAGCATTTGTGGAAGTGCTTTGTGAGTTTTCAGATGCCATTGAAAGGATGAGAGTGATGAAGACAGTCTTGGTCCAATGTGCAGGGTTTCAGTTTAGTTAAAGGAAAGGAAGAGAGGCTGAGCAGAGATAGATCAGACCAGAATGGGAATGCTGTGAACTGTGTGAGAAGGAGAAAGAGAAGGAGGAGGAGGAGGAGGAGCAGGAGGAGGAGGAGAAGGCATTGATTGTCTGCACTGTGCTCAGAACCTCCATACTAGGTCTTCCGCTCTCATTCTTGCTGCATTACAGTCCCTGCTTCACACAGTGGTCCTTGGTTTGGGACACCAAAAAGTTGTGGTGGGAATGAAAAGAAAGGGGCACATTCTGTGCATAATCTGTGAGTCTTTTAAATAGCCTTGGCCATTACATTGAGACAAATTAAGTCTAACGCTTTTCCTTTCAACCAAACAGTTGTAGAGAGCACGTATTTTGAAGAGATGGGTTAGTGGCTGGGAGTAGGGAACTTCTCATCTTTCTCTAAAAGAGCTCCTTAGAAATTCTGGAGAACTGAAGTTCTTGAGTCCCAGCATCTACCTCAGTGGTGTCCACTCTCCTCCTCTTCCGCCAAGCTCTCACAATCTGTCTGTGCTTTCGTTTTAGTTACTACAAGCAACTCCACGGCCGAAGAGTACACAGTGGACATTGAGATCAGTTTTGAAAATGCATCCTTCCTGGAATCTATCAAAGATTACTTGAACAAACTCAGTTATCCAATTGTGGACAACAGCACTGAGCAAGCCACTGACATTTTGAGCATGGTGCTGACAACAGGTGAGTAAAAAAGAACCACTGTGTCAGGAGGTTGAGAGGTGTGGGAGGATCAGAACAAAGTCTGTCAATGCTCCATTCCCTCAAAGCCGATGGTCCTTGGTAAACAGGTAAAGTGATGCAAAAGGTCTGGTGTGTCATTTTATGATTTCACAGTTTTCCAAGACAAAACTTCCCCGACAGAGTTTTCTTAATTCAGATGGTAACCATGCATTTGGTTGGTGGTCTGTGCGGTGGCTCTCACACAGGAGTCTCAAGATACAACCATATTCTGTTTAAAAAAACTACTGGATTTCTTTCTCCTGAAAAATTGTTGGGTACAGCACATATTGCCTCAGGGTGTCAATAAACAGCTAGTCCTTTTTGGCATCTTACATCGTGGCATAAGAACCTAGAACATGCATTAATCAGAAGCAAAGAGTTAAGCATAAATTTTTTTCAGGCTATGGAATTAGCGTTTCTGGTCAATAGCTCTCTTTCAAAGTCATACTGGCTACCTTGGGTCTCAAAAACCTATTCAAGTCCATTATTTTGGTACTTAGCATTCCATAGAAGCTGTGAGTGAACCATCCCTTGTCCTGTACAATATAAGTTTAGTGCTTTTTCTTTGAGCAAATGCTGCTCTTTTGATTCTATGTGGTTGGTTATTCTAAGGTATAATTGGCTCCCTGGTCCTATTGGTCGCCTTGTAAGATTGTCTACTGTTTGGTCAAGGGTTGAACGGTGAAGTGATTTTTTTTGTTCCAGGTTTGGAGGTTGACTAACCACCATAGTCCTAAAGATTACACAAGTCTCTCTTGAACCAGTCAACCTAGCCTTTTGTAATTTTGTTGTTGTTGAGTTTTCTCCTCACTCTTTTCAGGATCTTCTGTGATCCATTTGTGAATGGTCATTGGTTATAGACTCCAGCTAGATCATTCCATTTAACTTTAATTAAAAGTGGTATAAATTTACTTGCATTTGCTATTTCTCTATTTCTGTTTAATAACTCACCCACAAACTTTGACAATTAAAGCAATAAATGTTTTCTTTCCTTCACTGTATCTGAGGGTCAGAAACTGAGAGCTGTTTAGCTGGTTGTTCTCTTATGAGGTGACTTGGGCCCTCTCGGGAGTTTGATGGGGAGGTGTAAGCCAGAGTGACCTTTGAGGGCTCAGTAGACACTGGAAAATTACTTCCACATTCACTCATGTGTTAGTTAGCCACTTGTCTACAAATACACAATGAGTGACCACCTTTTCTCCCCTCACTGTTCTGCTGGGCAATAGAATGCAGACCTACTGGAAGTGAAGTGTGGTGCTCCTGTGCGAAAGGCTATGAGTGGCCTCGGGAGAAGTGCCTCCACAATCTCACTTGTCAAGAGTATGACAGCTCCCTCTCAGGACGCCACTGCAATTGCCTTAAACAACTGCCTGCTGGTGGACCTTATTGCCAGCTCCAGAGGGGTAAGCAACTGCTCATTTCTGGCTTTATTTGTTGAGTGGCTACATTCCAAGCTAATATATCTTTCCATTTTGTGCACTGAAATGCTAATATGAGTTGGTTACACTCTATCATGTGTTTTTCAACAGTTGTTACCTTAAGGATGTCAGTCAAGCTCAATGTGGAGTTTTCCGAAGATCTCAAGAACTCTTCCTCAGCTCTCTATAGGTCCTACAAGACAGACCTGGAACTGGCAGTAGGTTTTGGCCTCAGGAGCCTTTCATCAGCAAACTTTTGGTGGGGCCAAGTCAATTGCATTCAAAATGGACAATCTGCAGGGAATTACTTAGATGTGTCAGGATGTATGAATGTAGGAGTGGAAATAATAGTTGAGCAACTAGGAAGGTGAACTAAGAAATGTTCAAAACTAAGTGTTCACTGGGGAGCCTGACACCACCTTGACCTGTAGTTGGGATTTGTTTCTAGGAGAGAATTGGTGTAAGTAAGATTTGATGATAGCAACACACTGACACCTATTCAGAGGCCTGATAATCCTGTCTGGATGCAGCACTGTTGTTGTTATGTGCCATCGAGTCAGTTGAGACTCATAGCGACCCTACGTACAACAGCCCTAAACCCTGCTCTATCCTATGCCAATCGCACTGCCTCTGACACACTCATCCCGATTACCCCAGTCACTGAATCAATCCACCTCATAGAGGGTCTTCCCCTCCTGCGCTGTCCCTCTACCCTCCCAAGCATAATGTCCCTCTCCAAGGACCTCTCCCTCCTTACAACATGTCCAAATATGTCAGATGAAGCCCCAAAATCCTTGTTTCCAAGGCGTTGCTTGGTTTAACCCTCTCCAGGATGAATCTGTTTGTTTTCTTGGCAGTCCATGGTACATTCAATACTCTTCTCCAGCACCACAGCTCCAAGGCATCAATTCTCCTTCTATCCTCCCTAGTCATTGTCCAACTCTCTGATGCATAACAAGTGATTGCAAAGACCATGGCCTGTATCAGACACACCTTAGTCTCCAGAGACACACCGTTGCTCTTGAGTACTTTAGAGAGGTCCCTAACAGCAGACTTTCCCATCGCAATACGTTTTTTTATTTCCTGGATGCAGCACTAGGTACATGTTTATTTGCGTTCACACACTATATGTGATCTATAACATCTTTAAGGTAGACGAGTCCAATAAAGTGCATAGAGAGTATATCACCCACTCTGTGCTGCCAGTCTGTAGGCATTTGTGCTTGACTGGTTGCTAACTCTAACTCATGATGTCCCGTGTGTGTCAGGGGAGACCCATGATGACCAATGTGTGTCATCATACAGAATTCAGTAGCTGAATTTTGGGGAGTGCATCACCAGGGCTTTCTTCTAAGGAACCTCTGAGTAGACACAAGCCTCCTGCTTGGTTAGCAATCTTGTGTTAATTAGCCCCTATCTGGGGGACTTCTGGTCAGCAATCAAGTGTGTAACCAGTCCCCTATCCAGGAACTCTGTTCACAGTTAAGACAAGTTTAACTACACTCACATAGAAATAGATACTGTTTCATGAGTATAAACTGTGTTCTAGGCACTGTTCTACGTGTGCTGTGTTGGGTTTATTCATTGACCATTAAATGCATTGACTGGGTTAATATGTATGTAACAGAGCTTCTCAAGTGGTATGGCACAAATTAGTACAAGTGGGTAGAGAGAGAACGATTTCCTTGAACTCTCTGGCAGCACAGCCTCTGCTTCAGGCCAAAGGAAGTCTCTTGCACGTAAATCTTCTTGTTTCAGATGGGCTCTGGGATGATGTGCTGATTCAGATGAGTTCTTAGGCATCTGATTTGCCTATCTCACATATTTTCATTGCTTAGAATCCTCCCTTACACACACACACACACACACACACACACACACACACACACACACTTTTGGTGAAAGACAGGGCTTCATGCTAAGTTTGCATCACTTCAATGTAGATGCCTGGCACTGTGCTTTGTCTGTTATCTCCCAGCAAATGTGACTGGAATCAAGTAGAACCACCAGTGGTTCAGAGAAACAAAGTAAAAAGCATGAAAGGATAGACCCAAGCAATGCTACAGCATATCAAAGGAGGGATCAGTTTATGTGACTGCTGTGAGCATGCTCTTCTCAGGCCGCCAGCCACAGGAGATGCAGTAAGCCAAGGGCTGGTCCTGAAATCTACAATAGCCTCCTCTGTTCTCTGCCGATGCATAGGCATGACAGATCTCTGTCTGTCAGATGTGGGGTTCTTTCAAGAACCTTACTGAGGCTTCCCTGGTTCCATGTAGGATGCTATCATCCAGCCATCCTTCCTCTTTTGTATTGTTTAATACCAGATAGGCCTCCCAGTCTGCTGTTCCCTCTCCATCTTCTTCCTTTTCTTTCTTCTTTTACCCTGAATCAATATTTTGTACCTTTAATTTTACCTCAGCTTCTTGTAGGACTCAGGCTGACACCAATAGTCAGGAAATACTTTTTCAAAGACTTATCAGTGCCAGAGCTGTCAAAATTTACTTGAGAAAATTTTAGCTCTTGTGATAAGGACTAGGAGCTTTTTACTCTATTCCAAACTCGTTGGTATTCCTCTCATGACGTTTCATCTTATTTTCCAGTTCTCCAAAGCTTACAGCATTTTATCAGGTTTCAAGGCAGCAACTGTAACAGGGTTCAGGTAAGCATGTTATAGTTTGGTTGTTTCTACTAGATGGTAGGGACCAACGCGTTAGTGAGGAGAGAGCCATGATCTGGAATGCTTTGTTTGGTAAAGATAGCTGAAATCTAAAGACATCCTGTGCAGGCTTATACTTGTTGCCAACATGTTGATCCCAGCTCATAGCAACCCTGTGAGATGGCATAGAATTGTCCGATAAAGTTTCCAAGACTACTCTTGACAAAAACAGACACCATATTGTTAATTGGTGGTTCAAATAGCATACCTTTCAAGTTAGTAGCTGAGCACTTAACTCCTGCACCATCAGAGCTCCTTTGCAAGAACTTACAGGATAATGCTGAGAAGAATAGCTTCTTAGTTAAAGGTGAGGAAGTAAGTAGATTTGTATTCATTTTATGCATGCAATCATTTTGAAAATTTTGCAGAGAAAGTGGTAGGGTAACTTTTTAGCCTGTGGAGTTAAAAAAAATAGAAAAATGAAATCCTATTATGGCAAAGATACCCTTGTCAAAAAGACCCACAAACCAGTTGGGACCACAGTTCCACATGATGGTGTGAATGGCTCCCCTGCTAGAGCTCTGAGTTGGTTTGCACAGTGTTCCCAGTCCTAAAAATCAGGACTGTTTCTAGGAACGTGCAGAATTCTGGCTTCACTTAGCATCCAGTACATCTGCTAACGTTGAGACAGCATGGCTGTGTGACAGCAGTCAGTGGGCTCTGCATGGTGGTTTCCTGCCCATGAACAGCTAACATGATGCTATTCATGAATCCCCATATGACCACTTCATTCAAAGGTGTAAACTGGCTACAGATATTTTCATGTAATAAGTCCTCAGTTAGCTATCAACTAGAGCTTGAAAGCACATTAACTTCAATCAGTTGAGTAGCCTTGTTGCCTCTCTCTAAATTCTCCTCACCCTCCAAATCAGACTTATTTTGTTGGTATTATTGAGAAAATCACATTCTGGTGGCATTGATTATGTTATTAGAGTGTGTGACAATTCTCATATTCTTTTTCTGAGTTGTTAATCTGTCATTAACAAAAACTCTCTATCCTTAAATTTCTTCTATCGTCTTTTGAGTTGCTGTTGTAAATTTAATAACATAGATAGCTCTTTAAAGAGCATGTTGTTCAAGGTAGACCTTCTCTTATGAATTAAGCTGAACTGTTATTCAATTTTTAAATTACTTTGGAGAATATTTTGGTTTAAGGTTTAAAGATTGTTTGTGGGCTATAGTTTGAAGAGTTCATTTAGTTTCCATGACTTCAAAAAGGTGGGTTCAGTTTTTAGTGGGTTTTTTTTTGAGGGGGGGTTTGTTGTTTTAATTTTTAGGTTGTTGTTTTGTTGTTGTTGTTTCATTTTTAGTCATCCTAGTAGGAAATAAGGGAGCTCTGGTGGCGTAGTGGCAAGGAGCTGCTCTGCAATCCCAAAGATATTTGGTTCGATGCCACCAGCTGCTCCTCAAGAAAAAGATGGACAATCACCTCCTGTGCAATTAACTGCCTCTGAAAACCTGCCAGAGGGTCAGCTATGGGTCAGTTCTGACTCTACGGCACACAACAACAACAGTGGGAGATAAGTGGTATCTCACTGTGATTTTTATTTTATTTTTTTTTTTTGATGGCTAATGTTTCTGGACAAACATCTTTTCAAATGTTTGGTGGTCATTTGAATATCCTCTTTGGCAAAACATCCTTTGCCTGTCTTCAGACTAGGTCATTTGACTTTTTATTATTAAATTGTCTAAGTTTTATGTATTTTTATTGTTACTTTCTTGTTACCTATGTAGTATTAATTCTGTAAATATTTTGGTAGAATTACTCAGTAAAACCCAGGATTGATTTTTTTCCCCCCAAGAGATATTTTGATCACTGGTTTGATCTCCTCACTTGTTATGGGTCTGTTGAGACTTTCTATTTCCTCATCAGTCAGTTTGTGTAGGTAGATTTACTTAGTGTATTATCTCTTTTATTATCAGAGTTCCTTAACATTGCCACAGCAAACTTAACAGAAATTGACCTGTTACTTTTAACTTCTGCTTAAGCTTTTCCTGCTACTTGTTTCTCCATGCAAATAATCTATAAAGGTCTAATTTCTTCCAAGTTGGTCAGTACTATTCTGAATTTACGTATTCTCTGTCCAGGCCTGGAAGTGTGGTTGTGAATTACGAAGTCAAGGCTACATCACCATCACCTGACTTAATGCACAAAGCAAATGAAGAAGTAATACAGAACCTCAATGAAACCTACAAAGCAGACGACAGTTCCTTTCAAACTTTTGTTAATAGTAAGTGGAACTTGGCCACATTTTTCCTACATAGATTCTATTTACTGTTGTCATTGTTTGTTGTTACTGGGTTGGTGCTAACTCATGGCAGACTTACTTATAACAGAGTAAAATGCATGTCTGGTCCTGAGCAGAGTTCATTGTTATTAAAGCTGTTAGATTATACTTAAAATAGGGTAATCAAATCCTAGTTATTTTTAAAACTGAAGCTTTCAGCTTTCCGTTATAAAATACTACCTGTTTATAGCAGAAACTTTTATAAATTTTCAAAATCTAGAAGAATAACAAAGTCATCTAACTGCTCCTTTCCTAACACTACCAATCTTAATGTTCTGGTTTCTTTATTTTCTACAATTTTCTTCTGTATTTTTTAAAAAATAAATATAAAAAATCATAAAAATAGTTAAGTAGGATAATCATATTTGTCATTATTATTAAACCTAGTGACTTCAGCTTCCCTTCACGGAGAGTACATCCCCAGGTCCGGATCAGAGGATGACAAGCTGTCTCCATCTGTTCGGCTGGTGTCTTCCAACTAAGCTGATGTCACTGAGGCTAGGATCCTAGAGCTCTCTGGGTTTCTGGAGCTCCTAAATTCTCTTTTTCACTGCCTTTAGGTTAGAACTGACTTATCACACATGGCTAATCTTCCAGTGGGTTTTCAAAGGGTGTTTTTTCATGCACTGGAAGAAACTGACCATCTTTCTTAGAGCTGCTAGTGGATTTGAACCATCAGAGAGATACTGCCTTTGAGTTAGTACCATAACTCCTTATAAACTATGCCAAAGGAACTATAAACAACAGATATAACCCCTACAATATCCTATCCTGTGCTATCCTTAACTTCTCTGAAGTACTTGGCCCATTGCCATAGTCACTACATCAATCCTTCTCATCGAGGGTCATCTTCTCCTTCACTGATCCTCCACTTTTCCAAGCAGGATGTCTCTTTCCAAAGAATAGACCCTCCTAACAATATGCCCAAAGTATGTGAGACAAAACTTCACTCTACAGAGCACTCTGACTACTTTTCCCAAAACATGCCTGGTTGTTTTTTTGGCAGTCCATGGGACATTCAGTACTCTCCTACAATACCACAACTCAAAGGCATCAGTTTTTCTTCTGTCCTCCTTATTCATTGTCTAGTTTTCATATGCATGTCTGGTGATTGAAAAGACCATGGCTTGAATCAGGCACACTTCAATCTTTTAACTGACATCATTGCTCTTCAGGACATTGGAGAGGTCCCTGACAGCAGGCTTTCCCAGTGTAATACATCTCCTTACCTCTTGACTGCTGGTACCAAGTGTATTGAAATAAGTAAGACAAACTCTTTGACAACTTCAATCTTTTCTCCAAAAATCATGATGTTACTTATTGGTCCAGTGGTGAGGATTTGTGTCGTTTTGATGTTGAACTGCAAACCATATTGAAGGCTGTGGTCCATGATATTCTACAGTAAGTGCTCCAACTCCTTCTCACTTGTAGCAAGCAAGGTTGTGTCACCTGCTTAATGTAAGTTGTTGAGTCTTCTTCCAATTCTGATGCCATATTCTTCTTCCTGAAGTTCAATTTCTCAAATTATTTGTTCACCATATAAATTGAATAGGCATGGAAAAAGGGTAAAGCCTGACACAGAGATACTAAATTATGTAGTGTTCTCTTGCTTTGCTTGAACAGCTTTTTGGTCAAGGTATAGGTTTGACACAAGCACAACTAGGTGTTCTAGATTTTCCATTCTTCTCACTGTTATCCATGATTTGTTATGATCCACTCAAATGCCTTTGCATAGTCAATAAAGCACAAACAGACATTCTGCTATTCTCTGCTTTCAGCCAAGATCTATTTGAAATCAGCAATATCCCTGCCATCACAATCTGTCCTAAACCCAGTTTGAATTTATGGCAGTTCCCTTTCAATGTACTGTTCTAGCCATTTTTGCATGATTTTCAGCAATATTTTGCTTGCTTGTGATACTGATACTGTTAAATAGTTCCAACATTCTCTGGGATCACCTTTCTTCGAAATGGGAACAAATATGGATCTCTTCAAGTCAGTTGGCCGGGTAACTGTTTCCCAAATTTCCTGGCACAGACTGGTAAGCCTGTCCAGGGTTGCATCTGTTAGTTGAAACATGTCAATTGGTATCCTATCAATTCCTGGGGGCTTTCTCTTTTGCCAGTATCTTCAATGCAGCCTGAACAGTACAGCTTGAATGCAGATTAAAAGCAAGCTGCGTTCCTAAACTAGTGCACACAAAATATCACAGGAACTCAAAGTAGCATTGTGCTGGGGTTGTGATATCCACAAAATGCACTGACATTACATAAGGAGTTATTGTGACTTAGAACAATGATTTTTCTGGGTGTGATACTCATCAGAGCATCAGCCCACCTGGGAACTTGATAGAAACACAAATTCTTGAACTCACTCACGACTTATAAGACAAATTTGCATGTTAACTAGCTTTTGAAGTGATTATAAAGCACAAGAAAAATTGTGAACCACTGCTTTGAATCTGAAATGGAGGAGAACACCCAAATCAGTTGTAAAATGGTATACAGAATAGATTTTGTTATGTTAGTGGGTAGGTGAAACTGTTCTTTACCTGGCAGGTCGTAAAGGGACGTGTTCAAATTGAGATTTGACAGGAAGGGTTTGGCCAGTGAGTGGGATAAATAATTCAGGTCTGTGGTTCTGGAATGAAGTACTTTGGAGTCGTGAGGTCTGATACGAGAATAGACGCTGCTACAGAGCTTTTATTTTTTTTGTTGTTGTTGTTGTTGTTATTGTTGAGTACCATTGAGACAGAACCGCTCCATAGCTGACCCTCCAGCAGGTTTTCAGAGGCAGTAAATCACACAGGAGGAGATTGCCCAATCTTCTGCAGAGCAGCAGGTGGCCTCGATCTGTGTGCCTTAGGGATTGCAGCACAGCTTCTTGCCACTAGACCACTAGTATTCCCTATTTGTAAGTATTTAATGTGCTAAGACTAGCTTGAAAAGCATGAGGGATATACAAAATGGTAAGAAAAATGTAGTGAAGACTATTCAATACATCTTTCTAGCAATAATCTGTCTTGTCATATGCTCACTGTGAGTTTTAGTCAACTCAGTCAGTGACATCTAATAACAGCAACAACAATGACATGTCACATGCAGTTCTATGGGGAAATTCTCACACCATTCTTCTCTCCATTATGTTAGAACTGTTTTTAAATAATATAT